CAGCTCCACAAGATTATATGTATATTATAAGCTTGTTATGATCAACAGATAAAAGTTCTCATCGTTGAAAGGAGTTATAGCATTCAGTCTTTTGTCGTTTAATTCTAATTCTTTCAGGAATGGTGGAGATCTCTTTGTCTTTCATATGCTTGCTTCTGAATTAAAAGAATAATTTGCTCAAAGACTCATATGGGTAGATCATACATTAAAATCCTTGGAGGTATAATTAAGATTCATACTCTTTAGTCTTAGATGATGTGGAATCATCTTTGCTTGGAGTCATGTGCTTGCTTATTGCTCATGGTGTGGTGACATGTCAGTGAATCCTGGGCTGCTCATTACATATTGTCAAGATGAATGTAGCTATACTGGAATTAGCTGTTGGAATGGATATCCATGAAGATCAATGCTTGGTGGTGTATGTTGTTAAAGATTCAAGTCCATTCTCTGTTAACTCTTGTCCATCCTCTTGTGTTTGGTGTTTGGATTTTAAGCTTTTTCCGCTGAGAATCCAGACTACTCCTAGTCTTAGTGCTGTTGAGGGATTTACAGCCACTAGTTTGCGGGTTGAGGGTGAAAGGTTGAGGCTTTGGGCTTAGGGTTTATTTGTTCAGGGTCTTGCACTGTCGTTGTGGAAGTGAGATTTGCGTGTAGTGTGGGGCCTATGGGGGCCCCATTTCATTCGAACGGTATATATATATATATTATCTATGTATCGTAAGTAAGTTTTATATAGGGGGTAAAATTGATAGTTGTATGGGCTCCTTTTCGAAAAAACAAAACGCAGTCCCCCAAGTGAGGTAGGCGCCAGGCAACCATGAAAGCCCTGTACCCCGTAACCCCCCTGCACCCCCTACAGCACCCCTAAACCCCCTGAACCCCCTACACCCCCTACACCCCTACACCCCTACACCCCCTAAACCCCCTAAACCCCCTAAACCCCCTAAACCCCCTAAACCCCCTAAACCCCCTAAACCCCCTACACCCCCTACACCCCCTAAACCCCCTACACCCCCTACACCCCCTACACCCCCGACGAAAATCAGGAGCCGCACCCTGGCTGGCCTTCATCGCAGCTCACACGGTGCTCTACTGGCTGATGGCCTGGGGCCTCTGGGTGAATGCAAAGCGCCTCCTGGGCGTGTCTGAAGCGTGAAGCGCTTCGAGCCCTGCTTGGAGAAGCCCAAGCCCCAAACCCGAAACCCTGAACCTTTATTCCACCCAACAGCTACGTATTCACCAGAACATATTTTCGAGACCTTGAGAATAAGCCCTACCCGCCTATGCCGAAAGTGCCCATCCTCCAGAAAGGACAAAATAGCCAAAGAGTTCCGCCCCCATAAAGTACGTCTGCGCTTACCACTTAATCCCTTCTTAACTGTTTTGTTCCGGCCGTAATCCCGTGCACGACTTGTGTTTCAAAAAGCAACTCCCCCAAAAAGCCTTAGACCCTGAGCATAAACCCTTGGGTGAGGGTTTAGTTGGGTGGGGGTGTCAGGGTTAAGCGGTTCTGGTTGGGCGGAAAGGTGTGAAACGCTGAGTAGGGTAGAACAAAAGTAAGCATTGCCCCTAAACCTTAAACCGTCAACCCTAAACGCTCAACCCTCATCCTCAACCCTCAGCCCTAAGTTTTAGAGCTTTTGCTGGTTCGCAAGCGGGCCGTTGCTCAAAGAATGCAGTGCCCAGGATTTTCCCATCCATTCCAGCCCACCGAGCTCGCACCTCTGGGGAACTGAGCCCTAATGAACCCCCAAGCCCTAAACCCGAATAGACCCGAAACCAAGGACATCCCTTAAACCCGAATCCTTAAACCCTAAACCCTGAACCCTAAACCTAAACCCCAAACCCCAAACCCCAAACCCTAAACTGCGGCCCCCCTGAGCTCAACGTGGCGTGGTACGTTGAGCTCGGGAACATGTCGGGCAACGAATTTTTGAGACGGGCTGAACCTTTGTTTTTGCCTGTCCAACCCGGAACCGAAGCCCTAAATACCTAAACTCCGAAAGCCTTGAGGGTTTCAGGGTTTCAGGTTTAGGGGTTTAGGGCTTTCGGGTGTTTAGGGCTTAGGATTCAAGTCTTTTCGGGTTTAAAACCTTGTACTCCTAAACCTAACCCTCAACCCTGAACTCCCAAAACCTGAACCCCTAAATCAGGAAGTGCGGTAGGTTGGGATCCCCTTTTACAGGTAGAGAGCTGCCTCAACGGGGTCCAGGGACTTAGGGTTCAGGGGTTTCGAGGGTAGAGGAGAAGCCTTCGATGCCAAAGCCAGTGCCGGTAGCTGAGGTCAAGCCCCTGAATTACTAGACTTCCAAACCCCAAGCAAGACGCTCTCCAACTCCTGTGGGACATGGAGAGCGACCCATCAATCATCTGTCAGTCTTGGCGTAATTTGTCTGAGACAGCCTGTGTCCGCAGACAATGTGCAGCTGCCCGGCCAACCGCGGTCTGGCAAAAGAAGGGCTACAGGGGGTTTCCAGAGGTTTTGGCTTTCCAACTAGAATACAGAGCCTTATAGGTAGGGTACCTAGACACCGGCCCAGGAGGTCTGTGGCACCCGATAGATGCCTACCAGTCTAGGACATATGTGGCTTTGGGGTAGCACCCAGGATCTCAACAAGGATCCTAATTAAGCAATATTGCGCAAGGACCATTTCACTTTGGTTGAACTTTTGTGAGGTTTCGGGCATGAACGACAACAATACTGGGATGCCCAGCAACCAACTCATTCAGGGTCCCTTTTGCAGGGGCTCACATATTCGGGGGATTGAACTTCCCTTATTCTCTTTCTTTAGGGTGAAGATCCCATACACCTAATTTAGCCAAAAAGGGTTTATTTTGCTGGGCAACCTTTGATGCGGATCCAAAAGGTCTGGCTTCAGTTGCATGCTGGAGCAAAGGAACCCTAAAGTTGGGATTCCTCAACACGAAGCCCTGAACCCTAAGCTAATGTACTTGCTTGAACAATGACCGGCCACCCTGGCCGGCTGTGCCTGGAGTGGTCCCAACCTCCCCAAGAGCCACCCAACAGGCACTGAGGTTGCCCCATCCGCCTTTTCGTGGTCGGAATCGAAAGCCCGTTCTGTCAGGGGTGGCACCCAAAACCTTAAACCTTAAACCCTAAACCCTAAACCCTAAACCCTAAACCCTAAGCCCAAAACCCCAAACCCTAAACCTCGAACCCTCAACTCTAAACCCTGAACCCTAGTGCGACACTAGTCCATGGCCTGGGACAGGCTTCCAAGCCACAGGCTCAAGAAGAGCAAGACGACGAGGACTTGGCTGTAGCCAGGATTTAGGAGCTTTATGGACGTTAGGGAACCCTAAGCCTTGAACCTCAAACCCTAAACCCTAAACCCTAAATACTAGCCCTAAACCCTAAACCCTGAGCAGTTTCCAGATTCCGAAATCAATCGAGCCGGAGGATGAGCACGCCGAGGAGGATGAAGAGGCAGAGCTGTACGGCTAGACCCGATGGAGCCATCGCCTGGTTGTGGGTTTTTCTAGGGCTTCTGGAGCCGTGGTTCAGGCTTCAGGGTTTAGGGTTTAGGAGGTTTAGGGTTAACGAGGGCTACAACTGTTGCAATCCCTCAGCGTCGGCCGTCTCAACTCCCCGTAAGCTCTGAACCCCAACCCCTGCTCAGCCCTAAACGGTGCCTCCTACGTCCGACACCACACAGGAGGATTCCCTTGTAACAAGGACCCCAACAGGGTACCCCTCGGAAACCCCATATATATATGTATATATATGTATATATAATATCTGGCGCATCCTGAAATCAGGAGGAGGAGGAGGAGGCAAAGGAGGAGGAGGAGGGAGAGGAGGAGGAGGGTGAGGAGGATGCAGTGGAGGAGGCCGAGGATGCCCAAGACGTGGCAGAGGACAGGGTGGGAAGTGTGGGTTGAGCGGTTGAGGGGTTGAGGGATGAGGGTTGAGGGGTGGGTGGGAAGCGTGGGTTGAGGGTTGAGGGTCTGGGTTTTAAGATGCTTTCAGGTTTGGGATGTGTTGAGGGTTCAGGATTCTTCGATCTTCGAGCGCTTGCGCAGCCTTACACCATGGAAGCCCGCAACCCTAAACCAATATTTTAAATATCAGTTTCACATGTTGTTCATCACCCTTGGCCCTAAACCCTAAGCACCAAAAACATAAACCTAAACCGTAATCCCTAAACCCTAAACCCTAAACCCTAAGCCACTAAACCCGCAACCCTAAACTTAGGGGTTTAGGGTTTGGGCTTGAGGGTCTATAATAGGGGTGTAGGAGCCGAACTTGCAGGAGGCAAACCTCCGGAAGCGGCCTGCAGCGGATAAGGTCTCATCCGGGGGTCTGCAAGCGGTGGAAATATAAGATTCAACAGATTTTGCATTTAGGGTTCAGGGCTTAGGGAAGTTGCATTTTGGATTCTCAACAAAAAGTAGTGGCAAAAGAACAGCACCAACTCCTGTCCATTTGGGGCTCATTTTGATTTCCACGAGGTCGTCGTAGACCCGCATCTATGCTTCCAAAACCCCATTGCTGAAAGTGAGCGCTTGAGAGAGGCGTGCGCTTTCGGACGAAAATCTACCACTTCTCTTGGTGCAGTTACAGGAATTTCCCCATGAACTTTCGTTGAAATGAAGTTAAGTTACACTTGAGTTGCCCAATGTTGTGGGTGACCGTCCCATGAACATTCCTTCCTGCTTCGGACTTGTGTCCAACATGGATCAAAGCCGGGGATGGCACCCAGCTGATCTGTTGGATAGTTTCAAGCATGTTTCGGTTTTGGCGCCCCCAAAGATGGAATGAAGCAGCTGATGGATGTGGGGGTGAAATACAGTGAAATACACCCCTCAAATACCCACACCCACGCATACCCATGGGCAGAAAGTCTGCGTCCCCTTCATGAGGCACTGAAGATTGCTTTGATCCTTCGCCCACATGTGTCACGCAGAATGAACAGTTGGCCCAAGTGGACGCGTCGACTGGCAATTTTTGCTCACAGACCCTGTGAGTTTTTGGCGCCATGGTAGCTGTCAAGCTTGAACACGCAAATCTGGCGCAGCATCAGGCCAACGTCATGCAGCAAATGCGCGACTTCTGGATGGAAGCGCATCTCTGTGACGTTGTGCTGAAGGACAACGATGGTGCCGAGCATCGCGGCCACACGGTCCTGCTCTCTGCTGCAAGCGTATACTTTCGGAAGCTCTTAGGTGGACCCTTTCAAGAAGCAGACCGGGTGCGACGAAAGGAGCCCGTGGAAATCGCTGCGTCTAAAGCAGCAACGTCCGCTTTGCTTGACTACATCTACGGCGGCCAGCCGGAGGTGAACGTGGAAACTGGTCTTGAACTTCTGCGCCTGGCACAGGCTTATGACCTGCCAACATTTGCAAGTGCTATTGAGACGGGCCTGTGCGCATCCTTAGACAGTGTCAAAGCTCTGCGAATTCTACAAGAATCACATCTTCTCCATAGTTTGAAAGCCGCCTGTGAAGAGAAAGTTGCTGAGGAGTTTGAGGCTTGCAGCAAGCATCCAGATTTTGGAAAACTGGGTGCTCGTCAACTGGCCCGAATCTTGAAAAGAGAAGACCTGGCTGTGTCTCGGGAGGAAGTAGTGTTGAAGGGCATCTTCAACTGGCTGAAGGTCTCAGACGACAGAAAGGTCTTTCTAGGCACGCTGCTGCAGCATGTGGATTTCCAGGCGTTCTCTGTTGAGAACTTGCTTCGCGCGGGCCGCTTCCCTCTGTGTGGTCCAAGCGCGGCGGAACTGCACCAAGAGGTTGAAGAAGCTTTGCAGATTCGACAACAGAAGCGAGCTCAGAGCGCCGACAATTCACAGAGCTTTCAGCCAAAGAGGCGGTGTTTGAAACATTGGACTCCGGATTTGGGTGCCAGCGCTGAAACTTGGAGAGAAGTCTTGCCCGTGCCTTGCAACTCCTTGTGCTGGCACGAAGGCCACATCTACAGCGCTGACTTTCAAGGCAATGTCTTTTGTTGGAAGCCTGGTGACCCTGCCACCAGCGCACGAAAAGTTGTGGGTCAGGCAGTGGGAACCACTGGAATCATTGACCTGGGGGCCTGTGATGTGGCCATCTTGCCCACCGGCGAGATTTTGGTGCTGGATCTCTCCAATGAGAGGCTTGTTCGATTTCAAGACGGATGTGGACATTTGGTTTGTGATCATATTGATGATTCTCAAGCCATGTTCCGCTCGCCTAATGGGGTCGTCTACCTGCTTGTTGAAGGTGGGAAGGTGGTGCAGAAGGTGGTAGGCTCCACTCTCCAAACAGTGATTGCCTCAGAGAGTCTTCCAGAACACCTGCACTTCCGAGGCAGGGCGATATTAGCAACAAAGGGTGAAGTGATCTATATCACTGACAATCTGAAAGGGTGGACCCGGGTTTTTCGATTCAATCGGGCAGAGTCGCTGGAACCTGTTGTGGTGGGAGAAGGCCCGTGGTTAGGCGCAGGCCAATCGCTGGGTCCATGGGGCCTCTTCGTAGCCGAAGATGAAACGATCTATGTTGGAGAACACCACTCGCGGAAGGTTCTGGCCTTCCATCCAGGTAACACAGCTCCCTCCGAAGTCCTGGTGTGTCCGGACGCATTGCGCCCCGTGGGTCTTGTGGTCCACCACAGATCGCTGTACGTGAGCATGGTGGATGACATTGATTTTCCGACAGCCGGGGGTGTCTACGAACATTTGCTGCCTCCGGAGCTCCAGCTCGAGTGAACAAGCCTGGAGGACAGAGCTGGTTGGTGCCCGCAATACTGCTCATCTTGTCGCTGAGTTCGAAGGCTAGTTTGGGTGACCCTTTGCCCTAAACCCTAAACCCTAAAACGCCCAAACCCTAAACCAGACCTTTCTGGCCCTTGGCAGAGTTAGGCTTATCCGAGTTTACAGTTTAGGGCTTAGGGTTTAAGGTTGCGGGTTTAGGGTTTAGGGACATGCACAAGCCGAGAACCAACTGAGGAGTTCAGGCCGGACACGTTGGGCGGCGCGTGTGTCTTTGCATGTTTACCCGAGTAGTCAAGCTTAGCGATACTCATGCTTTTCCTTGAGCTTCGAGCTTTAGTTTTAGGCCCTCTAAGCCCCTAAACCCCAACCCAGGATTCAATATGCCCAGCCCCTAAAGCCCGTAAATCCTACCCTGCATAAACCCTTATCCCTAAACCCTAAGTCCGAAGAGTTCCAGGGTTCGAAGGCTCGCTAGTTACCCCAGACCCGTTCTCCCTTAATCCACAGGTCGAGGTGAGCAGAGCCCTCCGGGCAATGTCATGGTCTCCCCTTAAGCTGGTCCCTTACCTTCCTCAAAACGTTCTGAAGTATGGGCCTTTGGGTTCTATAGGGTAAACACATAAATAAATACATGAATAAATCAATGTACGTAAATATAGGTCGATATCTGTATCTGAATCTATCTCTATATATATATATATATATATATATATATGCTGTAGGGTTTAGGGTTTAGTGTTTAGGGCTGTATTCCGAACCCTTAAAGCCCATGAATCCTAAATTGTAAACGCTTGCGCGCGCCGCCTCGGCAGCCGGGCCGGCCCCAGGACGAAAGAGGGAGGAAGGGCAGAGCGGGTGGGGGGGGGGTTGGGGTGGGGGGGTGGGGGGGGGGGTGGGGGGGGGGGGGTGGGGGGGTGGGGGGTGCGGGGTGGGGGGGGGGGGGGGGGGGGGGGGGGTGGGGGGGGTTTTTGAGGCACTCCCCTGTAGGAGCCACCGACAAGCGGGACCCTCCACGGCATCGGTTTGCAGCTCCTCCAAGGGATTGGGGGGGGGTCCCACAGGGCGGGGGGGGGGGGGGGGGGGTGGCGTCAGAAAATTTGGCATGGGAGGAAGGGTTGGGTAAGGGAAGGAGGCCCGATCCGGGTCTGCTTGTTCCAGACGCTTCTCGGCAGGAAGCCGAGGCGAACTCTTGGTTTCACCTCTCTACCTCGCCCTTCATGCAGGCCGAGGGGCCCGAGCAGAATCTTGGCCGGAGAAGAGTTTTAGGCCTAAACCCGAAACCTTAAACCCGAAACCCTGAACCCTAGAGAGAACATGTCTTCAAGCAAAAAATGGGTTTAGGGATTAGGGCTTTGATCCTCAGGTTTCTGTTGGGCAGTTTAGGCTTGCGGGTTTTGCGGCACCTCGTCGGGCGCAGTGTGTCTTTGCGCGGAGATGGGGGGGTTGCTCTAACGATGGACCCTTTTCGATGCAGTCCCCTGTCCTTGTCATTCGAGTCCATGACTTGTTTTTCAGGGTGGATCAATATCCCTACATCCTAAAGCCGAAGCTCAAGAGCCCTAAGCAGCAAAACCTCGAAGACCCGAAGAACCCTAAACCCCAAACCCGAATCCCCCGAACCCGACGGCGCCAGAGGAAGGCGCGCCGGCACCAGGAGGCTCTGGAGGCCTTTTGAAGAGCTGCTTTAGGGTTGGGGTTTAGGGTTAGGGCTCCGGATTCGAGGTTTAGGGTGGTTTAGGCACTAGGATTGTTTCGGGTGGCTTGCAGCTTGCTTTGGGTTGCTTAAGGTTTTGGATGAGGATTTGGGGCTCGTGCTGTTTAGGTTTATGAGCGTAGCATTTGAACTTGTTGGGGTTTTGGAGGTTTTCTCTGTTTAGAGTGTAAATGGATTTCATGGTTTATGTGTTTATGGATCAGGGATCGTTTAAGTGTAGGATTTCTGGGCTTGCGGGGCGTTGGGGGGCTTAGGCGTGTTGTCATTTCGCTGTCTTCGGGTGTTGGTGAGGTTGTTCCCCCTTATGGCGCGCAACAGAGAGAAGGATTGTCACAGGGCACCATGTCACTATATACCCATGATTGCCACTGAAGCTTATGGCTGGTAAGAGCTTCAGGTGGTAGGATTGCGAGGTTCGGGGCTTTGCTGTTTGCACAGGCAGAACAGCTGTCATTGAAGTCGAAACCTGCCCTAAAGCCTAAAACCCACAAAAAACAAACCCTAACAAACCCTAAGCACCCGACAGCCCCGACAAGCCACGAAGACACAAAAGACCCTAAAGACACTAAGCCGCCGCCATTGCCAGGAGACCCGGCGCCAAATTGCAGCCCTCGTCGCTGCGAAAGGCCTCCCTCGTTTTCCCGAAAGCCCCCAAACCCTAAACAAACCGCATCAGCCCTTCTGAAGGACTACAGGCGGCCCCAAGCCCAGAAACCCTAAACCCTGACAATGCGAGCCAGCTGCCAGGAAAGGGAAAGGGAGGTCGGCCGCCAAGCAATGTGAGACATTCTTCCCAGGGATAGGGGTTTTCGAGAACAGGGGATGCAAAAATAGACCCCAAAATTCAAAATCCCCTAAAATAAGGACCCCAACAAGGTACCCCTCATTTCGTAAACCCCCATATAATTGGGCCCCATATTTCATATTTGAAGTTTTTACCCCAATCCCCCAAACCACACGAGACCTTCTACCATGAGTCCTAAACTACCCCCCTAAACCCTAAACCCCGTACTCTAACCCTAAACCCTCAAACGTGAGAGCTGTAGCCCGGAATGATAGTTTCCTGGTTCTTCCGGTGGCTCCCAGCCTCAAGCCCTAAACCCTAAACCAGACGCCCTAAACCCTTTGCCCTAGGCCTTAAACCCTAAACTTAGCGCGCTCGTTGGAGCGTGCTGCAGCGCCCGAGCGGCCGAGTCAGGCAGAGCCCGAGCAGCAAAGCTGCGAGAGCCATTTCAATCTGGTAATTTACAGTACGACTTACACACCCTAAACCCCTAAACCCTAAGCCCTACACCCTACACCCTACACCCTGCACCCTGCACCCTACACCCTACACCCTACACCCTACACCCTAAACCCTAAACCCTAAACCCCCTAGCCAAGGCGTGGAGCCTCGTGCTGCGCCCAAAGTCACGGCGGCAGCTGCAACGCAAGAGTCTCCAGGCCGGGCTTGTGAAAGCCTACCCTAAGCCATAAACAGGGTTTAGGGTTTATGGTTTCCACAGGTTCTAAACCCTGAACCTAAAGGCCCTGAACCACAAATCCTAAACCCTAAAAGTCCTGAATCCGAACCCTAAAAGCCCCGAATCCTAAATCCTAAACCCTACAGGGCCTGAATCCCAAATCCTAAGCCCTAAAGGCCCCGAATCCTAAACCCTGTCTGGCCACAGCAGGCAGAAGAGTTCGCGGGAAAAGCGGTGCCGCAGGCCCGGCAGCTAGCTGGGTTTAGCTGAGGGTGTTGGGGTGCCTCCTGTCAGTTTGATCAAGCCTCTGTCGCATCGTTATGCCCAACTCTAGCGAGGGCTTAGAAATGGCATTCAAGGATCTACTTCATGCCTCTAACAGGTTACAACGCTCCACAAAGCCCGGTAGTGCGTCACGGTTCAACATCCAACCACTTCTGAAGCCGCACCCGTGAACAAAACCTCATCCTAAACTCTACGCCCGAAGCCCTAAGCCCTGAACCCTAAAACCCTAAACCCCGAAACCCTAAACCCCTAATCCCCTGAACCCCAAACCCCTAAACCCCTGAACCCCCAAACCCTAGCCCTAAACCATAGCCCTCAACCCCCTAAACCCCCTAAACACCCCCCAAACCCCCCAAATCCCCCAAATCCTCTAAACCCCCCTTAACCCCCGAAGGGTTTAGAGATTTTCCGAGAGTCGGATTGAGGGTCCAGGCTTTAGATTTTTAAGATTTTGTTTTCAACAAGTTCGTCGGGTGTTCGTTTGTCATCGTGAGGGACCAGAAACTGAAAATTAGCCTAAACCCTACCTAAACTCTACACCCTAAACCCTAAACCCAAAACCCTAAACCCTAAACCCACAAAAGGGGTTTTAAGAGCAGTTGGAGCTTATAGCCCTCCGAAGCCACTGCTGAGGCGACAGCCCAGGAAAAGTCTCCAAGACAGAGGCGGAAGGCTCCGGTCAGTCTTTGTGTATATATATATATGTATTTGCTATCTATATATATAATCACTAGATGAAAAACCAAGATGCCTTTTCAAGTGAAGACTCCAGGCTTTTCATGTGCAGAAACCTTGTCTTCATAATCTCATTGAAAGCGCTATTTAGTATTCCCCTTATGCAGTGTTCACATGTGTCGAGTAGTTGATCATTAACGAGTTCTGATAGGGATACATTTACCCTAAACCCTAAACCCTAATACGGTAGCCTTTGGAAATGCAGTTTTTCGTGTCCTGAAAACCTCAGCCCTAAACCCTGAGCCGTACAACCCTAAAGCCTGAACCCCAAGGCCTTAAAGCCCAAACCCAAGTCCCGAAAAAACCTTAACAAACCCATACAAACCCCAAGAACCCTAAAATCCCTGGAGCCCTAACAACCCTTGTCGCCCTAGAGGCCCTAAAGCCCCTAAAAAACCCTAAACAACCCATACATACTCCTTAAACTCTTAAAACCTCAAACCTAGCCCTAAACCGCAAACCCCTAAGCCCTAAACCCGCAAACCGCGCTCTCCAGGCTCACCCGCACCACCTGTCCCGGGGTCACCAGAGAAAGGCCTTGGCCCCATCTGTGCTTGGTTTGGGGTTTCGGGGTTCGGCTTTGGGGTTTAGGGTTTTGGAAGTCTAGGGTTTGGGTTTCGGGTTTCGGGTTTCGGTTTTGGGGTTTAGGCTTTTAGGGTTTAGGGTTTCGGAATTTTAGGGTTTAGGTTTTAGGGTTTAAGGTGGAGTTCAGGGGCTGGGTGGTGGGGTTTAGGGTCTGCGGTCTAGGCGTTATTTGGGGTTTGAGGTGTTGGGGTTTAGGGTGAAGGGTTTAGCGT